ACTCTATTTTGATTGGACCCCAAACATCTGAATGAACCAAAGAAAAATGACTCAACATACGACTCTCAACTCTTGGACTGAAGGACACACGACGATGTTTACCAAATTGACATGACTCACATTGCAAAACTGACAAATGACTCAATGACGGAACCAACATCTTGAGAGCCTTGAGAGATGGATGTCCCAATCGGCGATGCCATTGTAGAGGAGTAAGTGAAGTCTGAAGAGCAATTGAAGATCCACCACCGTCAAGGTAATACAATCCACCAGCTTCATGCCCCCCACCAATCTTCTTCCCCGTCTTGAGATCTTGGAAAACACAAGTGGAAGGAAAGACGGTAACAAAACAGTTAAGAGCTTTGGTTATTGTACTAACAGACATAAGGTTGAATGGGAACTTAGGTACATATAAAACAGATGATAAGGGCACAATAGCCATGTCAACATTACCAACACCATAGATGGGAGATGAGGACCCATTGGCAAGTGTAACAGTTTGTGATGTGGAGGTTTCAGAAAGAGAAGAGAACACACATGGAGTCCCGGTCATATGATCTGAGGCTCCAGAGTCAATAATCCAGGGAGAGGTTTTGGATGACATGCAAGCAATACCTGAATGGGCAAGTGTGGCAGTGGTATGCTGTGAAGTAGTTTGAAGGAACCGTTCATACTCATCACGCGGTACACTCACCATCTCCCTCCCAGAAGTAGATGTAGATGGGAGAGGAGTACGGTCTGCCTGTTTACTGTCATTGTTTTCCACCTCACCTGCTACAACATGATTAGCCCATTTGGAGGGAGGGCCATGTAGGTCATAACAGAAATTCACTGTGTGCCCTTCCCTACCACAATGAGTACACTTCCTTGCAGAGTTATTCTTTTCTCTGCCACGGCCTCCCCCTGAGTCACGACCACCCCGACCAATCATGAAACTGCCACGGCCACTTTGGGAGGCATGTCCTCCTCCTCTTGTACCGTGTTCACCTCCTCCAGCTGTCACAAGTGCTGATCTATCAGACTGTGTGGGATTCTCTGTCTGTCCCAAAGAAATTCTGCGAAGTCGTGAGAATACTTCCTCAAGTTTAGGAAGGGTGGAGCTCCTTAATATTTGGGCTCTAATTGGTTCATACTCTGATTTCAGCCCCACCAAGAATGTTGTAACATCTAGTTGTTCCCTTTGCTGTTGCTGAACTTTAATATCTGGAGTGAGGGGATGATAGACATTGAGTTCATTCCTTATATTCTTCATGCAGGCATAGTACTCTTCTAGTGTTTTGTTTCTTTGTTGCAAATCAAAGTACTCCTGATAAAGTTGATATACCCTTGTTGTATTATATTGTCCAGAATACAACTTCTTAGCATGCTCCCATATATCCTTAGCTGTTTCAAGGAACATGAAGTTGGCACTGATTTTGGGTTTCATACTGTTCCCTAGCCAAGTCATGATTTAAGCATCTTCTTGTTCCCAATCATCAAACCCTGGGGAGTCAGCCGATGGTTTCTCATCTTTTATGTGCTTCACTTTCCTCTTTGCCTTGAGGAAAACTTCCATAGATTTAGCCCATGGAACATAGTTCTCCCCATTCAGTTTAATTGAGGTCATCTGTACACCTAGGTAGTCAGAGGAAACCACCACGCTAGGTTTCTGATCATTATACCCATCTCCTATTGCTGCCATTGAACTCTTTCATAGTTGCTTCTAACCTGAATTCTCAGCAACAAGCTGACTGCTGTTATTCAAAAAATTGATATTCCAGCACCTATAGCAACTCCTAAACACAACAGTGGGTACACACGCCTTGTTCTTATTCACACTACTACTGATTTCACAACACCACTGACCACATAGGCATCAATTTAACACTCACTAATCACATGTAAGCCCTCTTACATCCACTCAATAGGGATTGTGCAACATAAGCACCACAACATAGTTAAACCTGTTACACCCATTTCAGACTAGTTTAACAGTTCTAAGAGGGCACTACACACCCACAAAAAAACTCAGTTAGGTGACACCATTACACCTTACACCACTGGCCACTCACAGCAGCCCTAACACCACTCAACAACTCACAGCAGCCCCTACACAATTTGGCTACTGCACACACAACCCTTTCTAGGGCAACAATGAACCTAGTTCTCTAGTTCTGATCGATACTAGTAGCTTCTTGTAGGGTTTCTACCCAGAAATATCAGTAACACTAGAAGAAGAGATAACCGACCTTCCTTTGAGAATATCAACCAACCATTCACTGTTGAAGTCCCTTTTCTTGATGAAGAAGGTTATGCGCAGCAGAGAGAGACGGCCTGTGATGTTTTAGACCTAGGGCGAACCAGTTCTCTCCATAGACTTACTAGAAACGAAGGAGGAGAGGCACGAACACTGCTGAGGTGCTTTACCAACTGAAGTATGTCAGGAGCATGGCTTTGATACCATGTTTCGAATGCTGCTAAAGTAGTCCGAACCAGGAAGAGAAGGAAGGAGAAGAGGAAGAAGAAGAAAGAAAATAAGGGTCTGTCGAAATCTGTTGGATTACCCCTACAGTCGACCCCCTTAATCTTCATTAGATTCTAATGATCTTTACAAAGACAAAAATGCCCTTACTTAAGTGTGGGGCGGAGTGACTCTAATAACACTGCCACATAAGCAAGCTACTTAACCAGCATAAGAAGACTAAACTACCCCTATTCGGCACACTTTAACACCTCCAAAGATGAAAAGGCACCAGTACCCCATCTTCAACAACGTAATCCTTAGAGTTAGAGAGAGGATTCCATATGAAGATTGTAAAAGCTCCTAACTCGTCTGAAAATTAATAGCCGAGAGGTCTACTTTATTCTCTCAAAAGTCCACTAAAAGCTTTGCATTTATCAAATGGGGTTACAATGAACTCATTTTTCAGTCTTAGCTTCAAGGTTAATAGATCTGCAACTTTCCTCCAATCCATAACCCGTATCCCTGTTTGGATTATAAACTTACTTTCCCATTCTTCCTTAATCGGGTAATCCGAAAGTCTACACTGTTTGTTGGCTTTCACTATAACCACAGGCTCCTGTTCCATGTTTCCAGACAAGGTAGCCCCCTGAATTTCCACCTCCTCCCTTACTGGACTCTCCTTCGTAACTGTTCCTCCACGGCATAAAAACTCCTCAAATACCCTGCTAACATCCTTCCATCCTTGTTTCTGTCTTCCTTCCGGGAAGCATACCATCTGTTTCTTTCCTTTGCCAAAGAACTCAATCAAAGTCAGATAACATCCCTTAGTCTTCTTCCTGCTTTTGACCATATAAGTCTTACCTTCCTTTGTTCCAACCTCTTGTTTGTTGCTTTGCTTGCCTTACTACTTCTACCCAGTCACCAGAACCATAGCCCTTCTCCCTTCCCTTATCTTTAAGCTCATCTTACCTTGGACTCCAACTTCCTTGAACCAGAAATTCTTAGCTTCAACCTTCAAATTTCTTCTCCATCGCCCTACCTCCACGGGCCTACGCTCCATCTCTCTTCAGCCGAGTCACCTGGCCTCTTTTATCTGTGATTGCCTACAGAAGATATGTTAGGATTGTTGAATACATGAAGTTACCAAAAAAAAACCCTCTTTTAGTAATTTTAAAGTAGAAGGAAAAATTGCCCTGCTTCCTACTCTAAATTACAAAACAACTTATGCCACCCATTCTAATATGAGTAATATTACTTCTAACACAACAATAAAAAAATGTTATTTTTAACACTTTTTATTGTTGTTGGTCTTATTATTGGTTTTCTTTACTTGGATCTTTCCAACTGTCTTTAAATCTCCAAGGTTTATTTTTAGAGATCATTGTTGGTTGAAGAGGATTAGTTAAATGCAATCTGAAGGGGTGGATTGAATTGTAGAGAGAAATGGAAATTAAATTTTTGTGTACTTGAAACAATGTTATGCCTAAGTATATATAATACAGCATGGCAACAGGAAAGGGAAAATCAAAATACTTTCTGCATAACTCCATCCCCTAGTTCTATTTTGGTTCTTTATTAATTTTTGGTCTCGTTTATGTACCCCAGGAAAACTGGTGTACTTCTTTCTTTATCTTTGTTTTCGTATTTTTTTGGTACCACTTAACTCTGTATAAATATTTTCTGAATAAACATGGTATTTCTAGGTCTCTGCATGGTCATGTTCGTGGGATCTCAATAGTCCACATCATATATACGCTGGATTACAGGTTGGATTTTTGACACTTTTCTCTATTGTCAGGATACTGATTTGTTTGTGTTAGATGTTTGCTTTATAATTTAGATCACAGTTTGTGCATAAATAAAACTTTTATACCCCCCTTGGTCATTGATGTGAAAATAACAAAAAATTAGAAAAGGAAAAAACTTGGAGAGAAAAGAACAATTTTGGGAGAAAGGTTAGCAGCTGATTACCCTTGTAGAGCCATTGTTTATGTAAAAGATGTACAGAGACAATAAATACCTTGATTATGATACACAGCTCCCCATCGAGCTATTCTTACCAAGTAGAAAGTGCAAAAAACTGATCTGATTTAAAAACTGTATAGAAAAGAAAAGAAAAAGATTGTGCAGAGAAGAGAAGATGAGAAACATTGAAGAGAATGGGGAGAAGCCAAAACAGAATTAGGTCTGGCTGCCCCTTTCATTGTCTTATATACTCAAACTAAAAAAGGGATACAATGACAAGTATACCCTTAGTAAGTCGGCCACTATTAAAATATAAGAGCATACTATCAACTAAACATAAACCAATGGGCCTTGGGCCTGATTACTCTAACTAAACATTATAAATAAAACAAAAGATAAACTAATGGGCCTTGGGCCTAATAACTGTAACTAAACATTATAAATAAAAACAAAGGATGTTATCAGCCCAATCTCAACACTCACCATGCTTTGTTTTCTGAGATTTCCAACTTGGTTTTCACATTGCCTTAGTAGGAAAATCTGCCAATTGTTTCCCAATTGTCATGAAAGGAAAACATGCTTCTTGAGAAGTAAATCCCTTGATTACTTCCACCTCGGGTGGAAGCTTTTGCTTGGCTGATGGCTATGGACAATGTGTTGACAGTAGACCATTTGAAGACAAGAGGAATCAAGCATAACAGCATGTTCAGTTTTTCTTGGTGCAAAACTAAACTGGGTTTGCATGCTTCTCTATGAACAATTTTGCATTAACTTTTTTTGCACTGTTACAAGTTATAAAATTCAGCATTTCAGCCTATATGAGAGCGCTAAAAATTCTGGATCTGCAAACATGCAGGTTGTGGGGCATTATGGAGGATGGGAAAGGGGGATGGTTTTTGGAGTTGGCTTGGGAAGTGATTATTTTTTATGGTGCATATCTCTGTTAAGTATTAGTCAAGTGCTTAGAATTGATTGATTCTTGGGGAAAGGGGGGATTGCAGTCCATGTGGTTTGAGTGTTTTATTAGTTTTTTTCTAAACTTTTATTGCATTTGTTGTTAATGTATCCTGTTTTTATTGAATGGTGGATTGTTTCCTTGAGGTAGTCTGTAGGCTATAATTGAGGGGTTTGGTTGATGAGGAGATTTCATTGGATAAAAAAATAAGGCTTTTTGAAGAATCCAGTTGATTACCTGCTAAGAAGTTAGGGTGTAATAGGAGTCATTCCCCCTCAAAGAGAGTCTCACTACATTCGTCTCCCTAGCAGCTGGTGGAGTTAAATTAAACTTTGATGGTTACAGATTGGGCAACCCAAGAGCGTCCGGAATAGGAGGTTCCATTAAAGATCAAAATAGAAGCATCATGGCACAATTTTATGGGCCCATAGAGGTAGGGAACTCAATTGGGGCTTAACTGTTAACATTTCTGCATGGACTAAGAATGACAAGGACTCTAAATTTGAGGAATATTATAGTAGAGGGTGACTCAGAGGTTGTGCTGTAATGGCTGCAAAAAAGCAAAAAAGGCCCATAGCTATATTTGTACCAATTGAAGGAGCTGAGAATCTTGGCTTCTGATGTAAATGCAAGTTTCACTTGGACTTACAGATCATCTTATGGACTAGCTAATGCAATGGATAAACAAGGGGCTGAGGTAACTGTTGTAAGGAATTAACTATAGGGTGAGGAAATGCCTCAATAGAGTGCCTTACACTCACTTCTTTGGGGTGCTTGGAACTCTGTACATATTCATTGTTTTTCATATATTAATAAAGTTCACCTGCCACCAGATCTGAAATTTGTAAGACCCTATCCTATCTTAGATCAGTTAGTCATCTATTCCTCACTCTGGTATTTTTTTAAACCTTTTTAAGGAGAGATAACAGAGTAACTGGCTCCTGGATGAACTATCCCCCAATATGACTTTCCTCCCAACAACATCATTGACAAGGCTATCTATTAAAAAGTTGGCTAATCTTGTGTACATATGAATGAGATATTTACCTTGGAAGCCAAAAGATCTAGCATATCTAATAAGATGTTAAAACAATATAAGTTTCCTTTCATCTCTACTTTCTCTTAGTCATTTAGCCTTTGGACCTGAATAGACTAGTATGGCTTCAGCATCATATCTTCTAAAAGTTCCACAAACTTCTGAGTGCCTGGATTCCCAAGGGAGCACCCATCAACATTGGATTTTTTCTTCTAAGAGAAACAATCTCTGTACTACATTCTATTTATGAATGATGAACTTCACTGCCCCCAATCTTCCAGTTAAACTGTCTGCCAAATACCTTAGAATTTTTTTTTTAGGTTTGGTCTAGTGGGTAAGTTATGTCGATTAAATCAATGGTTTTTCAGTTGGTTACTCGTGAGTAAACATTCCACCATTACTCTCCTCCTAAATGCTCTATAAATTCATGCATGGACTCCACATAAATATTCCTCTTCTGGTGGAAGGGAAGGGTGAAAAGGCTAGGTTTCAACTCTCAAAACAAATTCAGGATGTCCATAGGAGGCTTCCAGTTTGGAACCGAAATGAGATGTGGAGAGGATCCCAGTCCTAGTGGCAAAATTTGAAATAATGAAGATGTGATGGATAATCATAACACTGACCTCAGCATGTATATGAGGTGTTTAACTTCATGGTTTTGTCTCATTGGTTCTCATTTGAATCATCCCCCAGCAAAAAGCTTGGATTTTTTGTGGGGCCAGGCCAAGCCAAGTAGCTTTTATTGGAAAGTCCTGCATTGACAAGAGTATTCAGATCAAGGACCTTTGAGCAATCTGATACAAAGTTGTTAATGCTAAACAATGAAGAACTAGAAAGAGAGTAAATCCCTTTATTATGATATGATGTGCTGTAATCACAATAATAATATGTCACAACTCACAACACTTTACTTATATTTTTTGCAGAATGGCATGCTTTTAGTGTTTGATATGCGCCAAACCTCAAGGCCTATGGAATCTTTAAATGGAATTATCGAAAAACCTGTTCATGCCATTTACTCTCTTGTAAATGACTCTGCTCCTCCTTCCGGTACTAGAACAGTACTAAGCGCATCAGCAGCTGGCCCTTGTGTGTGGAATGTTGGTGATTCTGGAGTAAGGTTAGTTTATATACGTGCGATTTATACATTGATGCTTGTTTTTATTAGTTAACAATCTGCTTTGATTGGCTTCCAGTTCATATTGAGTTCTATTTTTCTTCCTTTTGGATATTTTCTGATGCATTTAAAATTATTCTTTTATTTTTTTTATTTGCTGATTTTATATTTGTGGTTCACAAAGTTAACAAGATGTTGCCTAGGCAGGCGCCTAGTTATCACCTGGGAAACCAAGTAGTATATGGTTAGTGATCTATAGACCCACCATTTTTTCACAAATATTAAGCACCTGCCTTGCCAGTGCTGCTTACGCACCCACCTAGGTGAGGCAATTGGTAAGGCATATGCCTTGTATTACATATTGAGGTTGTGTGTATGCATGTCTTTTTTTTTATGTACATTGAGGTGCATAGAGTCAAATTATATATTGGTCATTGATGATATATCTTTAATTTTTTATTCAAGGTTTCAATGCAAGTTCAATACCTAAAGAATTGATTGATAAATTTCATAGTGTCTTATTAATTGTTTTTTGATATTCCTCTGTAATGTTCATTTTTACTCATTTTCTTAGATTATTGTTGCAGTACTTCTTTTCTTGGATTCAATATGTCGCTTCTTTGCACTCTTTTTCTTGCATTGTATGTGATAAAATGCTCGTCTTCTTGAATTCATTGACTTTTTGTCATGGTGGCAAAGAGGTACAGACACATATATTAAATCTATTATAAAGAGACTTTCACACCTTTGACAATATTGAATTCTTTTGACTGCTACTGGCTCTTGCTGCTCATTGCTTTTGGCCTCTTAGTTAATTGGACATCAAGAATGCATTTCTAAACAAATATTTTCATGAAAAAGTTTACATGCAACTCCTCTTAGGTATCATTGTGCAAGGTCTATAATCTAAAGAAGTAAATGGCCTAAAGCAATCACCTAGGGCCTGGTTTAGATCTTGGGAGTCCGTTCAACAATTCGATTCAATCAATGTCATCCAAAGATGCCACTGTTAATTCCTGTATCCAGTCCTCGCTCTCTGGTTTTAACTGGAACCTAAATTTCAGAAGACCTTTAAGAAACTTAGAGATTGATGAGACAGCAAATCTTTCAAGTTCTCTAAGTGAGGTTTACATTTCCTCAGCAAACCCAGACCAACGCATTTGGACACTTCAACCTGATGGCAAGTGCTCAGTTAAGTCCTTTAGAGCCTTGGTTACAGAATCCCCCTACTCTAATTTCCCCACAAGAGGGTCTGGTGCTCTGACATTCCCCCTAGGGTCTCTTTCTTTGTTTGGGAGGCCTGCCTTCACAAAATCAACACCTATGACTTGGTTCAGAAGAAGAATAAAGGCAGATTGTTTACCTCCCCCCATGCTTTCCCTTAATGTCTGAAAGAAGGTGAATCCACTGATCACCTCTTTCTTCGCTGCCTAGAAACAAGGAACTCTGGTTCTACTTCCTTAATCTTGTAAGGCACAGCTGGGTCTTTCCTAGAAATTTAATCGATTTCATCTGGCAAGGGAGGGGCAATGGTCAGAAGCAGGGGGAAAATTTATTGGTGCACAATTGCCCAAGCAGTATTATGGTGTGTTTGAGAAGAAAGAAACTGTTAGAGTCGGCAGAATAAGGGGCAGTCTGGTCATTTTGTCATATAATTAGAAGTGAGTTGTCTATTTTGTCTGTGTTTAAGTCGTGTCCCATACTTAATTAGGGACATAGTTGTCTTTTGTATTCTAATGCGTAAGTTATAAATACAAGGTGGGTCACCTGAAAGAGAGTGATTCTTCGCACTAGCCAAACCCTTTCTTTCTCTCCTCTCTTCTTTTTCTTCTCTTCTCTCCTTTCTTATTTCTGAACTAAGACTGTACTAGTGTCAATCGATCCACAAACATGGTATCACATCACTGGAAATCAGTTTGCTTCCTTCCTTTCTTTTCTCCTTGGATCGCCATATCAGATTTGAGTTTTGTTTTTTTTTTTTGAAAGTTCTCATCAATCAGTTGGAGGATCGATAAGGGGCCAAAAATGAGTCATCGTTTTTCCTAGGAGGTAACTATGCTTCCAGTCGTTGCGGTGATGTTTGTCTTGGTGGTGTACTAGAAACCCTCTACTCGACAACTTGAAGAGGGCTGGTTCGTGGACAGGTGTGAATAGAAGTCTATGGTCAGCTGATAGCATGGTATTTTCTCTCTATTTTGGATTGGGTTTGAACTATGTGGCAGTGCTGATTGATAGGTATGTGTAGGAACTGTGTTTGTTTCCTATTTATATCTGAATGTGTGTGACAGCAGTAGGGCTTTTAGTGTTGAACCCTATAACAGTGATTTTTTCAGCAACAGTTGCTTAATTGTGGTGTTGTAAACTTGTGTAATGATTTCCTTTGATTATCTAAATGTACAAATGACCTCTATCAAATTAAATGGTGTGTGCCGTGGGCTAAGTCAATGGAAGTGTTTCTGAGAGCCAAGAAAAAGGTGAAACATGTGAAGGAGGAGAAACCCTCGTCTGACTCTCAAGGGTATAGTGAGTGGGAATAGGAGGATGCACAAACTATGACCTAGTTGTGGAATAGCATGGAACTGAAAATTAGTGTGAACTTCATGTTCTTGGATACAACCAAGGAAATATGGGATCATGCTAAGAAACTTTATTCTGGCCAAGATAACACCACTAGAGTATACCAATTGTATCAAGAGTACTTTAGCTTGAAGCAAGGAAATCAGAGCCTAGAGGAGTATTATGCTAGTATAAGAAACCTTCGTAATGAGCTTAATGCGTATGACCCTTTGACTTCTGATGTTAAAATTCAACAACAGCAATGGGAATAACTTAATGTGACAAGATTTTTGGTGGGATTGAAATTTGAATGTGAACTTGTGAGGGTACAAATACTAGGTGGATATGCTCTTCCCTCTCTTGAGGAGGTGTTTGCCCAACTCCGAAGGATTTCTATTGAACCTTCGGAGCATTCCACTCTCTTGGACAAGTCTATTTTTATGGTGGCGAGAGGGGAGGTTGTGGAAATAGAGGTGGTGGAAGTGGACGTGGATTTCCAAGGAGCCAAGGTGGCCCTTTGTTTAATCATACTAGTGGTCGAGGTGGAGGTCATGGTAGAGGGTGGAGTAATGGTCCTTGGAGGTGCACACATTGTGGATTAGGACATACTATTAATTTCTCTTATGACTTACATGGTCCGCCCAGCACTCGGGCCAATCATGTTGTGTGACTAGTGATGGTGGCACAGTTAGTGAAAACCAACAAGTTGATCAAACACCCCCCACATCTACACGTGCTTTTGGGAAGGAAATGGTGAGTGTCTGTGTGATGAATATGAAAAATTTCTTCAGCCATCCTCTCAATAGAATATAGTCACTCTTGCTCATTCAGGGCTTGCTTGGCATCTAAACCTTCACATTGGATTATTGACTCTGGAGCCTCTGATCATATGATTGGGACTCCATGTGTGTTTTCCTCTCTTTTCCCAGTCTTTGACATCTCAAACACTGACACTTGCTAATGATCTACTTCTCCCATTTGTGGTGTTGGTGATGTTGACCTCACATCTTTATCATTATCCTCTGTCTTATGTACCCAAATTTCCTTTTAACCTTATGTCAGTTAGTAGGTTGACTAAATCTCTTAATTGTTCTACAACCTTTTACCCATTTTCTCGTGTGTTTTAGGATCTCAAGACGGGGATGAAGATTGGTGAAGGGCATGAAGTAGGTGGATTGTATTACCTTGATGGTGGTGGCCTATAAGTAGCACTTCAATCTTCTCCTACTCCTCTCCAGTGGCACTACAGACTTGGTCATCTGTCTCTCAAGGCTCTGAAGTTACTTGTTCCATTATCAAGTCATCTTTCTTCTTTGGATTGTGAGTCATGTCATTTTGGAAAACACCATAGAGTCTTTCTCAGTCCTAGGTTTGATAGTTGTGTTTTGGTTCCTTTTTCATTAGTTCATTCAGATGTTTAGGGTCCAAATAAAGTAGTGTTGTACAACGGCTACAAATACTTTATAATTTTTGTTGAGATTATTCAAGGATGACCTCACATCTTTATCTTTATCCTCTATTTTCCAAAAATTTCATACTGAAATTTGTACCCAATTTGGTGTTCATATTAAGATTCTCCATTTGTATAATGCAAAAGAGTACAACTCAACACCATTTTAGCAATACTTAGAACAATACGGTGTGATTAACCAAACTTGTTCTTATACCTCGCAATAGAATGGCATGACTGAACGGAAGAACCGACACTAGAAATTGCTTGGTCCATTTTGCATGATATGAATGGTTCCAAGCATTTTTGGAGTGATGTTGTTCTTACATCATGTTTTCTCATCAATCAAATGCCCATATCTATCCTTGGAAGTTAGTCACCTTTTTTCAGTCTTGTTTCCTACTCTATCTTCATTTCCTTTTCTTCCTAAGGTTTTTGGTTGTGTTTGTTTTGTTCATAATCTAGGGCCTGGACTGGATAAGTTAGACGCACATGCTACAAAATGCATCTTCCTTGGCTATTCCAGAACCCAAAAAGGGTATAAGTGTTACAACCCTAGCTCTTATCATTCTTTTGTGTGTTTGGATGTTACTTTCTTTAAGTCTGTCCCCTTCTTCACTAGTGTTGATTTTCATCATTGGAAGCTGAACTACTGTAGTCAAAGTAGCAGAAAAGAGGAGGAGAAGAAGAGATGCTGGAATGTCGAACTGTACTAGCCAATCGACCATGCTATTATTTATATTTGAATGTAGTACAAGATACAAGAAATTACTGGAATGCCTCTGATTAGTGATGGGACACCCAGTTAACTTAAAACATTAAACAGGCTTAGGCCCATTAACATAGGCCCAATTACAGGATAACTTAAACTTAAGTATGGGCTAATAAGAACTCTTATCAGCCGAACACTCATACAAAGAGACATCATTCTAACATTCTAACACTCCCCCTCAAGCTAAGCATGGATATCAATCATGTTTAGCTTGCCAAGTATGTC